AGGGCTCTAGAGTTTTACAAAAGTTACCATGCCTTTTAAGAATGATGGAATCACATGCTTTGTTCCCTAGCTTCAGTGGCAGGCTCGGGTTCAGCTGCTTTTGAGCATGTCATGTTTATTAGAAACATTATGGAGAGAATCAAATGCATCAGTCACAGCTCTATCCACCTCCTAAAATGGAGTTGGAAAGCATCCTTAATTCTTAGCTGAGTGTTGCCATTAGAGATAAACAAGGTTTCAATCCTCTAAGCAAAGATATTCCTTATTTAGAGACTTACATTAGCTTCTCTTCACAGAAGCCAGCTAACTTAGTCATTTGCTCGTTTTTTTGTTTTTATTTTTTTTTAATATGCTGCAATATAAACCAATTAGGTGGATTTCCCCACTTGACAGAAATAGATACCACAGTAGATGTCCTTGGGCATGTTCCATGGGCTCTTAAAATCTTATTCTCTCAGTGACATAAAATCATTCTGATTTTAATCTAAGAGCCAAAATATGAAACCTGCTGGAATAGTTCATTAAATACAACTAGTCCAGAAGCTATTCTTTCATATTACCACTTTCAGGACTTAGGAAGTGCTTTAAGCTATAAAATGCATGGTTGTTCTAAGGGCACTAAAAGGAATATCAATAACTATTTTTGCATCCAAGATATCTTAAACCAAACCAAGTTCAAATTATAACAGCTTCAGGCTTATCTTTGCTTGAAACATTTCCTGATGTCCCAACACTCACTAAACTATTTTTGTGTGCTATAATATCTGTTTTGCTTTTGCATCTTTATCCTATGCAGTTTAGATGATAATTCAACAATTTCCTCATCATGACTGAGAAGCTTTTTCCAAAAATATTTTCATAATGAATCTTCTCTAGGGGATCCTCTGCTCTCCAGAATCTAGCAAAAGTAGGAAATAGATCTCTGTTTTACAAGTCTAATTGAATTTCTATTCTCCTTTCATGGAAGAAGAAAGTTTAATGCAACCCAATTTCCTACTACATAAATATGACTGTGTTAATGGAGAATGTTAGTTCCCCAACTTCCAAAGTGTTTTTTATAGGAAAGGTGAAGTTTTGTTCTAGCAATCATTTCAGAATTTTTAGCAATCTGAATTCCACACTGACTTGACCAAAATTTTTAGCTATCATTTTGAAATAGACAATCTCATTTTATAACTACTGTGAATGAAGTCTGTCTCATAAACATAGCTATATTTCCCTTGTCATTAAAAATATATACTCACTACTATCAGCTAGGAAATCATGGTTCAAAGTCGTAAGTAATCAATGTCCTAACAAGAGAAATTATTACCAACATGGGAAGGTGTCCTCATTTAGGGAAGAGGCCACTGGGTAGTTGACTGGGGAGAGTCAACTTTAAGGTTTAATAGCTGTGATTTAGTGATAGAGCAGCAGCAGCAGTGATAGAGACTTATGGTAAAAATGGAACCAACAGTTACAGTCAAGACTTCTGAACTTGGGGAAGGTTTACATTGATGTGAAGTATAGCTTCTTATTCAATATTTATGAAGCACAAGCCACCATCATAAGTACTAGAGGGATCCTGGATTTGCACTATACACGGCACATTCTTAAAACTAGCACGCTGAGGCTAATACAAGTGATAAAATGTACAAGAGAAATGACAATAACCAAATGATTCTTGGCCTATTGTTAACAATAGGGACCAGTCAGTTTGCACTATAATAGCTATATATATATATATGTTTTTTTTTTTTTTTTGTAAAGTCTCCAACAAGCATTCAAAAACACACTCCTAATTCACATCTGGTGTATGGTCCTGGATTTACTCCTGGAGCTATGTGCTCTTAAACAGGTTTCTTAAGCTATCTGAACTTCACATTAATAAATATTAAAATAAGACAGTCTCCCAGTGTTCAATTAACTCTAATATTATCCAGCCCTAATTTTGACCTAGAACTCAGGACTAACTGTACACGGAGCTGCAGTGAGTCCACTCTGACATTAACACAACAGCAGCTGTAAAACAGCAACTCTTCAATACACTGAACTAAATTTTTGCATATTCATTAGTTTTTGTTATTATTAGATTAAGAGAATTGAGGGAATGAAGCAAAGGAAGCCAATCAAGTTATTCTAACAATGCAAAAGTAGTGCCCTTAAAATGATTAAAATGTGAATCTAATATATTTTATATGTTTAGAAAACATATATAATGTAATTGTGTTTTTTCTTGTTTCTAAGCATATATCCTTAATAATTATGTATTTTTTCCACAGAATTTCCACTAATGAGAGGTTAATATCCAAAAATACAAATAGTTTGCATATACATTAAGCATATGTTAACTATTAAAATATTGTGAACTATATTATTCAGATCCATCACAGTTTACTGGTTCCTCACACCCTGCCACACCTCTATGAGTAGTCTCTTCAATAATTACTTTCAATTTATCCACTGAGAATGCCAAATGTATTTCCTATTAGGAACCTAACTATTGTACTCTTTATCTCTTAAAAAAGTGGATTAGGCCAAAATGTAATTATGATCTGTAGGGATGAAATTTATACTAAATTATACAGGGCAGTTAATATTAATCAGAAATCTTTCAGTTCCAAACTTCACAGCTCAAAACGACTTTTAAAACCACAGTAAAACAAACGAAAAGCATTGACTCCTTCAGTTATGAAATGGTGTCACTTGTTTCTTACTCATATTTCACCTCTGCTTTCAGTTATTTGGCTTCAGTCCCTAGTGAGATCTCCGCCCCTGGGCGGAAATAATTCTTCAGTCATTCGGGCTTTACATGACCATTACAGTTTGCCTGCTCAAAAGGGAAGAGACAGACTTATTTCCCATCTCTTCCATCAATCACCTCAAAAGATTCCCAATTCATGCACACCACATACAGCAAATATAGTCCTCTTATTGTCTAGTATGAGTCAAATACTTCAGGACTCATTCAGGAAGGCCAGTGTCCAGAGAAAAGAGGTGGAGAAGACAAAAATGTAGCAGATACCCAAAATACTTTTACAAACATAAACATATTGTCACCGATGTTCATTCATTCCTTAATTGATAGACCATATGAAATAATAGCTGTATACAAACTGTATAATAAGACTTCTGTGTAGGCATACAGGGTAAATACTTGGTATATATTGAGAAAGAAATAATAGTAATTTAGTAGTGGAATTTTAAGGAACCTAAGGTTTAGGGTTATGATAGGAATTACAAAGTTGTTTTGTAGGGTAGTTCTGATTTACCTCTTTACTTTTTTCTATTTATAAGTCATGCTTTAAAGGAGATAATCATACATTAAGTTGTGAAACACTGCTATAGTTCATGAGAACCTTGTGTTTCCTACTAGATTAAAGATACAAAGTTTATATTTAGATATACATAAATGCCGTGGTGGCACGGAAGGAATAACATCTGAAATTGCTGGCTGATTTCAAATGCAAGTAAGATATTCAACCCTGCCTCTGGCTATTTATACAAAGGCACAGAATAGAGTTGACATTGCAAGAACCATATTTGCTTTTTTTCAATCTGTAATACAGGAAGAGACAGACTTATTTCCCATCTCTTCCATCAATCACCTCAAAAGATTCCCAATTCATGCACACCACATACAGCAAATATAGTCCTCTTATTGTCTAGTATGAGTCAAATACTTCAGGACTCATTCAGGAAGGCCAGTGTCCAGAGAAAAGAGGTGGAGAAGACAAAAATGTAGCAGATACCCAAAATACTTTTACAAACATAAACATATTGTCACCGATGTTCATTCATTCCTTAATTGATAGACCATATGAAATAATAGCTGTATACAAACTGTATAATAAGACTTCTGTGTAGGCATACAGGGTAAATACTTGGTATATATTGAGAAAGAAATAATAGTAATTTAGTAGTGCAATTTTAAGGAACCTAAGGTTTAGGGTTATGATAGGAATTACGAAGTTGTTTTGTAGGGTAGTTCTGATTTACCTCTTTACTTTTTTCTATTTATAAGCCATGCTTTAAAGGAGATAATCATACATTAAGTTGTGAAACACTGCTATAGTTCGTGAGAACCTTGTGTTTCCTACTAGATTAAAGATACAAAGTTTATATTTAGATATACATAAATGCCGTGGTAGCAGGGATGGAATAACATCTGAAATTGCTGGCTGATTTCAAATGCAAGTAAGATATTCAACCCTGCCTCTGGCTATTTATACAAAGGCACAGAATAGAGTTGACATTGCAAGAACCATATTTGCTTTTTTTCAATCTGTAATACTTGTGCAATTCATTTATTAGTGCTTGTTTTCCATCACTGAATAAAGAACAATTTATTTTTAAGTTGCTTAAGGTTAGAAACTGTAAAAAGGCAATTATATTTCTGATTTGTAAATAATATGCCAGCAAAATTAAGATGTCTCCACAGCTTAGTCTTTTAAGGTTTCTATAAAAGTATCTTCTGAGTAAAATGTATTATGTAATGTAGTACATATACACATATAATCTATGTAGCATACATTAGTATAATATACTATGTTTTTTTCTTTGTTAATACTTTATACATTATCATTGAAGAACTTTCAACTGAATAAAAGTCATAAGAATTTGCTTGAAGTTTGATCACTGAAAATATATACATTGAGAATCTGTTGAACTGAAGTCATATTTTCCAATCTGAATAAAGAGGGATTTATTTGCTTCTATCTGGTTAAAAAGTACTGGGAATTATTTTGGACATATACCTAAATAAAGTAGATTCCTCTGCGGTCACCACCTGTCAGTCCAGTTCCACATCAGGCCAATTCCACAACACAAGGCATGAACTAACAAAAGGATTTTATCAGGGGAAATGTACAAGTGTTCAACAAGAAGAGAAGGTACATTTTTTTACACTCCCCATCCTTTCATTAATCTCATGGAGAAGCAAGCAGAATCAAGGGAATTGCTGGATATGCAGTGACATGTTTCATTTTAAATAGTAAAACGGAATATTCTACAACCCTTACCTTCTTAATTTTTTCAGCAGTGGGATAAGCAGCTGACTGGGTATCAAGTAGTCTGAATTGTTCCAGCTGTTGAGCTGATGTCTAGGAAAGATGTCTGCCCATTACCTGGAGTATTTTGGGACTGATAGGAAGGTGGCCTCAGGAACAGCACCTCCTGCAAGGAGAAGGAAGGCTCTAGACAACGGAAGAAGAGAGTCTGGGTACACGCATGGAGAAGTGGACCCCCGGTGACAGCTGACTCATTTTTCAGGTTACATGTAGTATAACTCAGGTTATTCCCAGATAATCCACTTCTCAGGCAACATGTTAAAATGTAAAGTGTTTGTGATATTTTGTTACAGTTTGGAAGTAGTAAAAACAATTATTTCTGGTTGATCAGTGTCAATATGAGTTTTCAGAAGTCAGTGAAATTTGATATGAAATTTACATTAAAAAATTCAAGAAAGATGTCGATTGTGGCATTACTGTTTTTAATTTCCCCAAATTCTCTATAAAGTCTGATAGGTTAGGAAGACCAGAAGTCTTCTAAGCCTGACTGAAGGGTATTGTTGGAGAGAGAGTAGGTTCTCAAGGCTAGAGACCTGTGGAAAAGATAAGGGTGATATGAACATTTTTGAAATTGTAAATTTCTCTGACACTTATTTGTTATGGAGGAAACCCATTCTCTCATCTAACAAAATCCTTTTAATGGTACTTCTGATGTGTGCTGCACATCCTCACAAAAACATGCTGATTCTGTTAGGGACCAATCCCTGCCACTCCTTGTTGCCTCCATGACAGGAGTTCTGACTCTGGGTGATGTTGGTCCCCCCATCAGGGGACATCTGACAGTGTCTAGAGACATTTTTGATTGTGACAACTGGGAAGGTGGGTGCTACTGGTGTAGCACCAAATGACTACTGGCCAGAGATGCTTCTAAACACCCTACACAGACAATCCCTAAAAAGAAAGAATTATCTTGGCCCAACATCTCAGAGTGTTTAAGTTAAGAAATGCTGCTCTTAGGACCATAGTAAGAGTTTTTATATATGTTGTCCATGCTGTGAAACAAATGACCACTAACAGAGGCCTAAAAAATATCTGTTAATGAACTCACATCTTCTATAGGTTAGACATCTGGATGAGGATTAGCTGAGTTCTCAGCTCTGTACTCAGGGTTTCACAAGGTTGAAATCAACGTTCTGGCTTGGTTGCATTCTCAAGAGGGTGCTCAACTGGGGACGGATTCACTTCCAATCTCCCTTAGATTGTTGGCAAAACTAATTTTATGGTGGCTGCAGAATCCATGGCCAAACTGAAGAGAGACAAACAGATAACAACACACAGTCTTCTTTCAGGAAGGCGTGTGCTCTTTTGTAAATGGTTCACTCAGAACAAACCCATTCTAGATAATCTTTTTTTAGGGGTAATGTAAGTCAATAAATCATTAGGGATTTTAATAACATCTGTAAAATCCCTTCTCCTTTGCCATAAAGCATGAGATAACAATGACAGTAGTAGCCTATCACCTTTGCCATATTCAACTGGTTGGTTGGAAGCAAATTGCAAAGTCCACCACCATTCAAGGGGAGGGAATAACATAAGGGCATGGCTCACTGGTGGTCACTTTGGGCTGTGTTCACCACAGTTTCTATCTGTAAAGAAAAAACCTCTAACTTTAAGAGGAGACAGTGTCATTCTGTACCCAACCTGTGGCTATTTTGGACTGGATGGGGAAATAGATACTAAAGAACAGATTTCTTGAATTGTTTCCTAGCTTGTGAAGTGAGAGCCATTATGATAGGAAGGAGAAACTAAAAGTCCTGGAAATGCCACCAACTCCTATAAAAATAGTGAATCAAGAACCATCTAGCTTCACTAGGGCCAATATAGAGTACGGTGTAAGTCACTCAATCATGTTCAGCTCTTTGTGATCCCATGGACTGCAGCCTGCCAGGCTCCTCTGTCCATGGAATTTTCCAGGCAAGAATACTAGAGTGGGTTGCCATTCCCTTCTCCAGGGGACCTTCTTTAATCTTCCAGGGATCAAACCCCGGTCTCTTGCATTTCAGCTTCTTTACCATCAGCCATTAGGGATTGCTTACAGGGCACAGAACTGCCATCAAATATCTAAGAGATGCAAGGATGCAAGTCCTACACATTCTCAATTTGTATCACCTGCTTGGCATACACAACATATAATGTGCTTGGGGAGGTGATAGGAGGTTTCCATAAACTTAATGAGATGGTAATGCCAATTGCAGCTGCCGCTGTACTGGATAGAGTATTTTTCTGGGGAAAATAATCTTACTTCTGGCACCTGATAGACAGCTACAGGCCTGCCAAATGCTATTGGTTACATTCCCATAAGTGAGCCAAATCAGAAGCAGTTTGTAACTATGTAGTGAGGACAAGAGTACACCTTTACTGCTCTGCTTTTCTCTCTGTTGTCACAGTCATCTTGATATCCTTCATAATATTAATCATGCTGATACATTACACTGAAAATCTAGGGGATTTTCACTTACACTGGATCTAATAAGCAGTAAGAATACCAGCAGCCTTACTATTATATACGCTTCCAGAAATGTGGTACATAAACCCTCAATAACTTAAGGCCTACCCTATTGGTGCAGTTTCTAAGGATGCAGTGGAATGGAGCATTTAGGGACAGTCCTATTAAAACAAGAACAACCTTGCTTCACTTCACACCACCTGTGAAGAGCAGGAGGCACAGTGCTCTGTGAGACCCCTCAGATTTTAGAGCGGCATATTCTACACTTGACTGCTCCTATCTGCCCATCTTGTATTAAAGATAATCCCTATGGAATACAACCATGATTGAGACTTAGGGCACAAATTTCTGCAGCAGGTCCAGGCTGTAGTCTTACAAGATACCCTACTATTCAGATCATATGACTCCCCAGAGGGTCATATTGGAAGTTCTAGGCAGAGAATTATACTGTAGGAGATGCTGGAAAATCCCAACTGAAAATCTGAGCACAGACTCTCCTAGAGTTAACAAATTCACGACTTCTATCACAGTCAGTCAGTCAGTCAGTTCAGTCGCCCAGTCATGTCTGACTCTTTGTGACCCCATGAATCGCAGCACGCCAGGCCTCCCTGTCCATCACAAACCATGGCCAATTAACTTAAGAGAAAAAAACAATAGCCTAAGTATAGAAGAACCTTCACGGTTTTCTAACTGAGGTTGATGGCTTTCGCACTGCTGCCTCACTTAGCAGTGACCTCATCCTTATACTCTAAAGGGACATTTTCTCACACAACTCTAAAGGGACACAACTTTGGCGGTAAATCTGTTTGGTCACCTAATGTGAAAGAAGAGACGGCTTGAGTACCCAACCTGCCAATCACAGAGGCAGATGCTGATCTCTAGTACGTCACCATTCTCTGGGGAAGTCAGTAGGCTTCCCAGTGGTTGGTTCACCATGGTGGACCCTTCCTTTCACAGCACATGGCTCTTTATTGTTACTAGAACACACATATATTCCAGGTTTGGATTTGCTTTCCCCTTTTGTAGTGGTTTTGTCTGTACTATTATCTTTTTCACTTGCTGAATGCTTTATACACAGCATGACATCTCTTATAATACTGTCTTCAACCAGAGGACACAACTTTTTAATAGAAGAAAATGCTATGTGTGACTAAAGCTGTAGATTTTAATTTTGGAGTATAATACATTTTCTACCACCCTGAGATGATGTCATATCTTGACGGTAATTTGTGGGTCTTCTGTGTCTGAGACACAAATGCTTTACTATACAAAGGACAGAGTGGCTGCTGAAGGCGAAAAGCCACAGACTATTGCAATTATCTTCCATTTATCTCTCAGAGTCTCTCTCCACAGAAAGCAGGAGTAGGGTTCCTGCTCTGTGTCTTAAGAGAACTGACTCATATGGGTTATACAAAAAGGCGCCCATGTTTTCTGTTTTGTTTAGATTCAGCCAGTGGTGAGTCCTATGAGGAGATTAGAGGGAAGTAGCATCATTGCTGAGTGATACTGGGATGTACACTATCGTGATATTTTCTCTTTTGCTCTCCATAGGTTGGCTACATGCTTTCAGTGAAGGTCAGGGCTCTTCTCAAGTTGGCCCTTTCTATATGATTCTGCTGGGTTTAGGTAACTGCTCCTGTCTTCATCTATTCAAATTTCAGAGTGTTAGCAACACCACTTTAAGCCTTTTTAGATACTATTTATCAGTTTGTCTCCTCCTCCATTTAGATTTAAGTTACTGGTAACAGTCTATCATTACCAGCCCTGGATACTTCACTGTTCCTTGCAGTTTGTGCCCAAACTATTGTAGGCAGTCCTTTGTTAGTTATTAATTACCCTAATTGGAGTCAGATAACTATTTACTCTGGTGGTCCTGACTTAGGCAATGGCAGAGGCCAGAACACAACTGAAAGAGGAAAAGAGATAATATCTTAGACTCATCCAAAAGGAGTGGGGAGCCAGGAAACTACTGAGATGTACCTCTTAATTTTGCAGATAGAAACCCAATAGCAAGCAGACTCAATATTTTTGTAGACCTGAAAAGATAAATAGAAATAAAATTTGCAGTTTCAAAAGAAAAATACAGAGGAAATCAACATTTTAGCATGTGTTCCCTCCAGTTTATCCTTCCTCAAAAGTGGCTCAATTTATGAGAAAAGTCACATGAGCACTCAAACCACATAAGACTAGTACAGAATGACTAATATTCAGGCCAGATTGAACCAAAATCTCTTTTTTGTACTTATATTCCTTTTGTGTTGTTTTGTTTTGGTTTTTTTTTGAACATAACTGAGACTCTGGTAAGATCTTTAACAATGCTAAAAAGGATTAGACCTGGAACGATAAAACTGTTTGACAAAGTGACATTAGGAACTAAAAATTTCTTTGCTTCTCAAAATGTCATGAGTGTGGGGCCAAAACTCAAGCTCCAAAGGGAATATGACTTTTTTGCTTTCAGTGTTAGATTTTATCCCCTCTATTAAGAGATACTCCTGATTCTGTGGTGAACAAAAACATAATTTCCACTCTTATGACAGTTTCAGTTCAATTCAGTTCAGTTCAGTCGCTCAGTCGTGTCCGACTCTTTGCGACCCCATGAACCGCAGCACTCCAGGCCTCCCTGTCCATCACCAACTCCTGGAGTCTACCCAAACCCACATCCATCGAGTTGGTGATGCCATCTAACCATCTCATTCTCTGTCATCCCCTTTTCCTCTCGCTCTCAATCTTTCCCAGCATCAGGGTCTTTTCAAATGAGTCAGCTCTTCGCATCAGGTGGCCAAAGTATTGGAGTTTCAGCTTCAACATCAGTCCTTCCAATGAACACCCAGGACTGATCTCCTTTAGGATGGACTGGTTGGATCTCCTTGCAGTCCAAGGGACTCTCAAGAGTCTTCTCCAACACCACAGTTCAAAAGCATCAATTCTTCGGCGCTCAGCTTTCTTCATAGTCCAACTCTCACATCCATACATGACCACTGGAAAAACCATAGCCTTGACTAGATGGACCTTTGTTGGCAAAGTAATGTCTCTGCTTTTTAATATGCTGTCTAGGTTGGTCATAACTTTCCTTCCAAGGAGTAAGCATCTTTTAATTTCATGGCTGCAATCACCATCTGCAGTTTCGAACAGCATTAATTTCCTCTCTGTTCTGTCTGATCATCTACCTGTGTATGTGTATCCATCTTTCTATCTATCACCTATTTCCATATCCTCATCAGCACTTTACTTGGGGGTTCATATATAAAAAGCTTTTTCTTTTAACAGATCTGGCTCTACTTCAGGCAAGCCCATGTGAAGTCACCATGACCATTCTGTTCCAGCAGCGCAATGCAACTGGCAGCACTGGCTTAGCCCCAGGGAGAGCAGTAGGATAGCAATGACTGTAAATTTAAAACAGAAAAATGCCATTTTTTAGTTGTGGATACATTCTAGTTGAACATAACTGTGACTTTAGAAATACATTTTTCTGTTTTAAATTCAGTAATTGAACTTCTTGTATGTTGACTTCCTTCTCCACGGGCTAAGCCAGCATGGTCATTTTGAACAATTTCCCTCCTCTGTGACCTGAAGAGCAACAGACATTTCAAACAATGGGCTCAGAGGCAAAGCATGCATGCATGGGAAAATGACTAAACATGCTGAAAGGATTTCCAGTGTCGGGGGCCTTCGGAGAATTGCTCTAGCCCAATACATGATTTCCTGCAAAAGACTCAGATTTGAACACAGAGAAACAAAGAAAAACTAAAACAAACCCTGTTGTTAAGAGACTAATTTAAACAACCATCTGGGGATTTCTTGCTTGCTTTCTTTCCTGTTTTGTTTTATTTTGTTTTATATTTGCCTCCTTTATCTGTATTGACACTGAAGAACTGAATTAAACCAGTTCATCAAATATGTTAACTCTGGAGTGAGCCCTGGGCAAAATGATCATGAAATATTTCTCTTTGAGGGACATCTTGAGCTCCTTCTTTGATTTACAGTTTTTTCTTTTCCTTTTTCCCCACCTCAATTCCTTTCCAGCTTTTTTTTTTTTTTGTCTAATCCTTTCCCCTAACTGTCAAATCCAATGGTTATCCTACTGTTTATTATTTTCCCTCCCTGTAGAACTGAATGGAAAACATCTCATCCCCCTTGATTTCTATCACAGAACTCTGCTAATGTCCTATTCCTTTCTGACTTTCTCCTGTTGGTCTCCTTGTTTCCTTATTGGGATTATTGTCTGCTTTCTGCCCATTAAATAATTTTTGCCCTGCTACCACTCTTTCTCTTCTCAGCTGTACAGGACTGGGATAGTCACATCTAAGTACTTATTTTTAATCCTCATTGAATTAAGTTTATTATTTAAATATGCAAAATAAAAGGTGTGGGCAGAGAAACCATACTTCCTGCCCTGCTGCTGCTGCTGCTAAGTCACTTCAGTCATGTCCGACTCTGTGCGACCCCATAGACGGCAGCCCACCAGGCTCCCCCGTCCCTGGGATTCTCCAGGCAAGAACACTGGAGTGGGTTGCCATTTCCTCCTCCAATGCATGAAAGTGAAAAGTGAGAGTGAAGCTGCTCAGTCATGTCCGACTCTTCATGACACCATGGACTGTAGCCCACCAGGCTCCTCCCTCCATGGGATTTTCCAGGCAAGAGTACTGGAGTGGGTTGCCATTTCCTTCTCCAACTTCCTGCCCTATTCAGTTCATATCAGTTTCATCCATACATACAATTTGAGTAATTTTTGGTACATTATTTATTTTTTTATCAAAAATAAGAAAGTATATATGCAATCTTAGTCTTACTCAAGCAAATGATGGCATATTATACATATGCACTCAATACAAATACACATGTAGCCATGTATTTTATCATGGTTTTCTTATTCTATAAAAAACACATTTTGGCATTTTGTAAGTCACCCCATAGCAGTTCATAAAGCACTTGTATTTTATTTTAAATCTGTGTAGAATTCTATTTTAGCCTCAATCCTAGGCCCTATCTGACCTGAAGCTAAAAGAGATATAAACTTCTTCAAATATGAAATGAAAACTGCCTTTTGTCCAACTGAGATATTAGTTAGGAATTCTAGGCTTTCATTTTTCTTTTCCCAAAATAAACTTTCCAGCGCTATCAAAAGTGACCACTACCTGCCACTATCTTTGTAATCACCATTTTCACCACATTTAATCCTCATTGAGGATTAAATATCAATACTCCTTGATCACCCAGTATCTTTTTCTTCATCTATACTTCATCTTATATTATCACTGCTGGTAATGTAGGCAATCATGATATTCTACCTGCTGTGACTTCTAGTATCCTATCCTCCAAATGAGAAGGATGACTTATGTTTGTGTTTTCTTTTGCTGGACAAGACTTTCTGAGGTGAAATGATAATGCTGACAGTTGCCATCCAAGACGTCCCTTCTCGGGGGTGCATGTTCATTCTTGGTATGGCAGGCTACAACCCATGGGGCTGCAGAGTGAGTCAAATGAACACACACACATGGACTAACAATCTGGCTTGGCCTATATAGAAAGCCTCTGCTGGGATAAAGAGAGAATCCCAAACTTCTTTGTGAAAGAGAGAAAATGAGGTGAAGAGCCTTGGGAACTGGGAATCACCAAATGTATGGCTGGTGTACCCAAAGTGTGAAACGTTAGTTCCTTTGTTATATCTGACTCTTTGTGACCCATGAACTAGAGCCTGCCAGGCTCCTCTGTCCATGGAATTCTCTAGGCAAGAATACTGGAGCGGGTAGCCATTCTGTTTTCTAAGAGATCTTCCAGACCCAGGGATCAAACTCAGGTCTCTTGCTTGGCAGGCAGATTCTTTACTGCTTCAGTCACCAGGAAAGCTAAATATACATATATATTCATATATACACACACACACGTATATATTCATATATGTATACATATATTTATATATTTGCTGGGTCCTGAGGTTGTACAGACCATCGAGTTACATTAAAATCTTTAAAGGCAAAGATTTGGAAGTGAAATCTGGAAGATTACCATTTCTCATGGTATTTGAGTAAAAAGACCTGCTGGGAGAAAGGGCTGGACTTCAAGCACATGGCCAGTTATCCAGTTAAGGCACAAGCTATGTTCTGACGCTACACTGGATGGTCACGGGGTTTAGTCACTAAGTTGTGGCTGACTTAGTGACCTCATGGCCATAGAACTGCCAGACTAAGTCTGTCAATGGAATTTCCCAGGCAAGAATACTGGAGCAGTTTATAATTTCCTTCTCTAAGGGATCTTCCTGACCCAAGGAGAGAAGCCATTTCTCCCGCATTGCAGGTGATCTCCTGCATTGGCAGGCAGATTCTTTAACACTGAGCCACCAATGATTCCCAGTACATTGAATGGGGGGCTGGGCATCTAGGCTGGAAAACTTCAGATTAAAAAAAAAAAAGCTACAATGTCTTAAGGCTACAAATAAGATCCTAATCAGATACACACTCACAATTCTAAGAAGACTATATTCAGAGAAAAGGGATGAATATAGATAAAATGTGAACTTGTAAATTGCAGTCCACACCTGACACAGTTTAATTTGTGAAACAGAGGAAAGAGACTATCTGATTTGTAAGAAGATGGAATCATATGGTCTTATGGCCCTTTTATTTACATATATCTAGTGTCCAAAAAAATATTACACTTACAAAGAGGCAAGAAAATTTGACTGATAAAGAGAAAAACTAAAGGAGACACACATAATCCAGATGTAGGAATTTTCATACAAAGATTGCAAAATAAGTGCATTAATATAGTAAATAAAAAAAGGAAAATGGCTCAAATAAATATGAAGATGAAGATATTCTATACAGAATTGAAATCTATAAAAAAAGAACTGCATAGATACCCTAAAGTTATCATATATTAAATTAAAAACCCCAGGAATAGATTTAACAGAAAATTGGACACTGTAGATGAGATGAGATGAATAATGAATGATTTGATAAAAACCAACTTTAACTGGACTCATCCTTCTTCAAATCATTTTTCCTATTCAATCAGAAAGATCATTCTAAAATGAAAACTTCATTACTTTCCTCAAGAAAAAAATCAACAGATTCTTAGTGAAGTTAGGATAGTGTACATATTCTTTAATATATTAATATAACTTTATATGACCTGCTCCATTTTATATTCCTGGAATATATCATTCACTTAGTAAATATTACTTAAATGAAATAGAAGTTTGTTAGTGGACAGTGAGGAGTCTCACCTAATGAAACTATATGATATAAATATCAGTTCAACCTGTTAAAATGCTTATTTGGGAGACATTGCACATTCTTGTCTAAGGGCCTGGCAGACTGAAAGCAATGCATCAGAATTTGGTCTGATAGCGGATTACAGAGTTGATTTTAGTTGAGACAAAGGTAAACTAAATACTACTTTAAATACACACATACACACACACACACACACACACACACAATTGAAACACAGTAAAAAGTAGCTCAGACAGTAAGGAATCCGCCTGCAATGCAGAAGACTCCGGGTTTAATCACTGGGTCGGAAAGATCCCCTGGGGAAGGGAATGGCAACCAACTCCATTATTCTGGCCTGGAGAATTCCTTGGA